CCCAGGTATGTTCAAATACCTGGCATTAGTATGAGGGCAGCGGTAACCTGCAGAGACCAGACAAATGAGATCATCCACCATCTCCCTTCTGGGCCATGTTTATTTTGTCTTCAATGCATGAAAAGGTTACACACAAAAGCATTCAACCCCATTTTAATGAAAAAACTGTACCGAGATTAAAGACGACAAGTCCCCACCAAGATTAAACCAACCTGCATGCTTCTTCTCGTGAGCTTTGCGGGCAATATGGGAGTCAAATGTGGCAGCGCATCCATCCTTCGAACATCTAAGTATCCCAGGAGTAAAGACAGAAGTAAAAATTAATCACAGACACCAACCCCACATAGGCATTGGCAGCTCATTCTGCAGGTATAAATGCTGATTAAAGCAGTAAAAGTATCATCTTTAATACAGAAACTCATTTGACAGCTTCAGCAATTTCTTTAAGTCACACAGTAGTGTCAGTATATGTTAAAGCAGAGCAAAATCTGAACTATATTTTATATGAATCCAAGCTATTACATGGACTTACTTGAACTTGACAACCATTTCATGTTCCTTCAGGTGCATCTTAAACAATCTGCGCTTTTTGAAGGTCAGAGAGCAGTTTGGGTGTTTGCACTACAGGACGGGAATGCACAAGTGATTAAAATGACAAGGCTTGAAAACCGGTTTATCTCAAAAGTAAACGAAGCTGGTGCAAATTATGTAGTTTTGGTGCCATCTGGTGTATAAGTGTATATTCACACAAACCTTGAAGTACTTATTTTTGTCTCCATGGGCGAAGCGCACGTGTCTCTTCAATTTGCTTGCGTTAAAGAATGTCTTTGTACAGGTCACAAACTTGCATCTGCATGAATCAGAAACCAAAGTGAGACGACAGCTGAGAGAAGGAAACCGTGTTTGAGTTACTTACTTGAATCGCTTCTCCCCGGTGTGCTCAAGCATGTGGCGCCGCAGGTGAGAGCTTCTGGAGAAGCGACGACCGCAGCCGGCAACTGCGCACTGGCACGGGCGCTGCACGCATTTGTCATAGTTGTAAAGTTACTGTTTCTTACTTTATTTTTCAGTTTAAAGGGTTTAGAAAGAAAGGCTTTGGCACTGCGTAATTGAATATTTTCCTTACCGCCCCGGTGTGCACAGTCTCATGCTCTTTGAGTTTCCACTGCCTGGTGAAAGTTGCGCCACACTCGCCATGAGAACAGCTGAACAACTCCAGCGGTTGACCGCCGACAGGTTTCCCAGCTCGCATGTCATTCATTTTTTTCTGATATCTGAAAGTTACTCTAACTACAGAACGTTATGAAAACGAGCGGCTGTTCCCTGCCAGTCTTATACTCTCTGGAAAGCTTTTAATTAGTTAACTGGCAGCGTCCTGACACCAGGCGATGAGTCACGCTTTACTATACTCTAAGAGAGAACCTGAAACCAATTAACTGCTAATTACCTCATTTTCCGCCACTTGGCCCAGCTGTAGTCACACAAACCTGGGCAAACCAGCACATCAATCAGCTCGTCACGTTGCTGTCCATGAGTGTTGCTATACTTTTTTTTTTCCTGAAGTGATACAATGACGGCTAAAGAAGACACATCAGAGATTAAAAACAGCAAACTGTGATGTTAAATTCTAATAAGGAGGCTATATTGTAAACATGCCTTCATGAAATTGGCTCATACTTAACAATAAGGACTCTTTCAACAACACCCCTTACTAACACTCCACGCTGAAGCTCTTCTTGATTACATAGGTAATCAGAGTTATACCTGTGGCAAGAGGTACCATGGGAAATATACACTCACTGCCCACTTTATTAAGCACATCTTGCTACCAGCAAGTTGGATCTTGTTTGTTTTTGTTTTTTGTTTGTTTTTTTTGCCTTTAGAGCATTCTTAATTCACCATGAGACAAATTCAACATGGTGCAGAAAAAACTACCCAGAGATTTTGGTCCAAATTTATATGATAGCTTAACACAGTGGCTGGAAACTTGTCGGCTGCACACCCATGACACAGACCTCCAGTTCCACCACATCCCAAAGATTCTCTATTAGACTGAGATACAGTCACTGTGAAGGCCACTGGAGCACAGTGAACTCGTTGGTATGTTCAAGAACCAGGTGAAGGTGATTTAAGCTTTGTGGCACGGCACATTATTCTGCTGGAATCAACTATCAGAAATGTACATGAGTAAAAAGATGGACATGCTCAGCAATAATATTCAGGTAGGCTGTGGCATTTAAATGATATTCAGTTAGTATTAAAGAGCCAAGAAAATATCCACCACGTCATTACACCACTAGCCTGAGGAAAGAACAGAGAATGAACAGAGGATTTTGAGTTGTTTACACATTTTGAATTTTAACAGTTGGATATTTAAGTTACTGTTGCCTTCATATCAGCTTGACACAGTCTGACCATTGTCTTCTGACATCTGGCATCAATGAGGCATTTTCACACAAAGAACTGCTTCTCATTGGATATTTTCTTTTTTTTTTTCCATTCTTTATAAACCCAGAAATGCCTGTGTGGGCAAATCTCAGCAGATCAGAAGTTTGCACCGGCCCATGTAGCACCAACAATCATGCCAAGTTGCCAAAATGCATTGAGTTGCTGCCATATGGTTGGATAATTTGCATTAATAAGTAGATGTGTGCTTAAAAAGTGGCCAGTGAGTGTATTTCTACTACGCTTCAGTACACCTGAAATGGGAGTAGCTTTCCCATTTCTTCTTATTCCAGCTGAATGGACTCAGTTACAGAGAATTCAGCAATTAAAGCTCTGACTGTGATACAGCACAGTCCACACCAGAGGGTAGTGTGTCTCTATCACAGTTGGCTCTGCCATTCAGATTCATGCACAAACTGTAAAAGTATTTGGGTATTCCCATTTATTTACTTGTGTATGTCCTGCATTCTGAAACAAATGCCTTCTGTTTCTCAACACGTCCATTGGATTTTTAATGAGAATCATTGTAGAAGCTGGTTGAGACTTTTCCCCTGTTTTAGCAGAAGGTGTTAGACAGCTTAACAAGACTTCAAACATTTATATGCTACAGAAGGAATCCCCCTTTATATAACACGTATGGGAGGTGTATAGTGATGGATGCTGATTTACTGTGATTCCACCTGTGCTTTTATTACTGTGACATATCAACATCGACTGTCTATAGTACAAGTTTTGATTCAGGACTGGCTGCTTGAGAAGAGTTGTCTCTGTCAAGCTCTGATATAAGAGGGTTCAAGATTGTGATTATTATACATTACTTACATTTAAGTGTAACCTGAAATCTTAAAAAAAATGGAATTCCTCATATCCTTTATATTCACCCTAAAACCAGTGTGACCACTGCATCCCTGCTCACAGAGCCACCTTTGCACTACTTGCAACTCAGCTGTCTTACTGCAGAATACTGCATCAGCACTATGTGACCACTTACCAGATCACAGTGAAGACTTTAGTGTTTGAATCAGAAAGCCAGCAGCAAAGTGCAGACTAAAGTCAGTGTCTGTTTAAAGTTTTAGAACTGCAATATTCTGGCAGCCATCATTTTTTATTTTATTTTATTTTATGATATTTTATTTTATTTTGGCAGGGCAGGAGCATCTTTAGCTTATGCTGCATTCCTCCTGATACTCCCACCTCCATCTCTTCCTGCTATTCCTCCTTCTCTGCTTGTCTCAAAGGGAGGTAAATGAAATATTCAGAGGGGGTGCCGGTGCAGTTTTTCTCCATTAGTTTGATGTATTATAGGATGGCTGCTGAGATTGGGCTGCACCAGGGAAGCTAAACCCAGCAGGTGAGAGACAGCAGAGAGACTGCAGGTTTCAGCGTCCATCTCCATTAGTGGCTTCTGATTAGGAGTCATAAGCAGTTAAACTCATACATCCCTTTGAACACAGCATGTTTTACTGATCACTGGGGCCAACAAAAGCTTTAGAGTTACTTTAGTCAACATGATCATGTAATGTTCTTGTAGGGACATTCACAGTGGTCAGTTGGAGTTTTTCATTTCACTGACAGCAGTGTGTTTGGGCAGTATGCTCTGTGTGATGCTTGATTCAAATAAAAAGACTTAATCAGTCCCTGATATTACACTTTAGTAGCAGTCGTGCATATTCACTTAGCCGCTCTGCTGTGGTTAAGTAAGTACTCAGTGGACCACATGTAACATTCATTTTTTTCCAGCATTAATATTACGTTTTCTTCTTTTGCTACATATTTCCAGACCTATAAGCTGAATGTAACACTGGCTCTTAAAGTGAAAACCAGCTTCTCATTACAAAAACAGTGATTTTTCTAAATGTTAAAACAGCAGGATGCATTCAAACAGGTTAAACATTTGGAGATCCCTGTGATTAAGTTTATTTTTATGGCATTTGGTATAACTTGCAGTGCTGAAATGAATAAAAATGAATCGTAAGAATATCTTGAACAGTTTGAGCTGTTTAAGGCAGAAACAAGGTGTGAACAGTATGGCCTCTGCTGTAGCCGGTTTGTCAGAGGGTGTCTTGGGTTCATAATGTCTCTCCTCGGTCGGGACCACTTTCATCCCCTATAGAGCTGTGATCTTCATGTCAACGCTTTCCCGGATACTCCTGATTAACTCCTTCATGTTCAGAAAATGAATGAACTGCCCATCCCTGATCCCCTTTCGAGCTTTTCTCCGGCTGGCGGGCTGTCGCATCCTCTTCTTGCGCAGAGCTGCATGGCAACGGGAGGAGGAGGCAGCTCGGGATGAAGGAGGGTACCAGCGTCCCACGTGTCCTCCTCACCGCAGACCCAACGCATTGCTCTTCGGTTTCCCATCCCTTCGTTTCCGCATACTGCAGATTCGCATATACACACACATACAACCTCATCCATACACCCATACGCACCCGCGCAGGCTTGCGGAGCTATGATTCCGCGGTGCGCACTCTCCCGTTCCACACTATTTCTAAACTGATCACTCTCTAGGCCTGTATCCATCATCTCCGACAAAGGCCTGTCACTTCTTTTTTCATCATTCTGATATGCAAATCCAAATTCTCTGTAGCAGTGTTGACCGGAGCTGAGAGGGCGAGTGATAGAGAGGGGGAGAGATGAGAGGAGGCACATCGTCAGATGTTTAGTAGATTGATTTTGGATCCTCGCCATCATTTGTGTGATTTTTTTTAGTCTTTTCTTCACTCCGTCTGCCGGGTTCGTGACATCCTGCGGCTCTCCATGCTGTAATCCGGGGGAATATGTGAAGATCATGCTGGCGGTGTGGTGCTTCACGGTCTTTGCTGCAGTGGGCGAGAGGCTTGCAGTCTCAGGTAAGAGAGAGAGAAGCGAGCGAGGGGGTTTGGATCGAGAGAGGGAGAACCCCTTTCGTTTCCTTTGCATCCACTCTTTTTTTCACCGTGAACAGCACTTTTCGAACCCCGGTGTAGGCTCGTAATTTTACTGTAGCGGGATCTCGGTGCCAAACAGCCCACTGGCCTGAAAGCACAATTTGCTGCATCAACACATTCCCACTGCAGCCTCATTACCTATAACGTATCCATAACCATTTCAGACGAGCATTTAGGAAGAAACATCTACAGCACTAGAATATAACTACATTTTATTGCCCTGGGATGACGATTTGTGAGCCTTTCATTTGTATACTCACAATATGCAGGCTTATATGAGCATCCCTATTGTAGATAATTTAAGTAATGACAAGTATTCTAATTATTTTCCATCAGAGCGTGCACATCTAGCTATATCCACTATTTTTATAAAATACTATTACGGATAAATAATGTTCACTGTTAAATTAGGTCACCAAACCGTGAGCTTACAGATGAAGACGCTCACAGGCTGATTTGTTTTAAATGTGCATTACTTTGTGCTTGTTTTTTATCCTTAAAGAAATCCCCGCTGCTCTGTTTGGGCAGGTTCACTTGTGTTGCTAACTTGCAGTGCCTAGTGGAAACACACTGTGAGAGTTTTCCTCTTGTATTACATACAGGTGTTGACAGGAACCTGGAGCAGGATGGAAGCATGTGGGACTGGTTTGCCCCAGTGGGCCGGGCGGAGAGTGGGGACACTGCAACCGAGATCATTTATCCAAAGCGCCTCGTACAGCAAATCAAGTCAGAAGAAGAAATGGCTCATGACTACTTGGGTACCAGGGTGAAGAATAGCACCGGGGACACCTTGGTGAGCTTACATCCTTAATTCTGTTTATTCCCATGCTGTAAAGGATCCCAGACAAGGTTTTAGGACCCTTCCTAAATAAAAGAAACTGATACATTTCACTCTAAATTGAACAAAAGAAACTATTCCACGTGAGTAATGCATAAATACATGTTTCAATGAGAACTTAAAAACATTTGCCCTGCACTAAAATCAATCATTTCCTGCATTTATCGAGGCATAAATGCAGGAAATCCTTGACCATTTCGACTGCAGATAACTGCATGCGTGTACAAGGGTGTGACAGCACCAGGACAGACTTTTATTTGTTGGTGTCAACCTCCTTTTCCTCCCTGTCAGTAAAACAGTGCAGTGCTCAGCTCCCCACTGCTCATGCGGCTCCTGAGATAACAGCGCAGGGCGGTGTATTGCAGCAGCCTCTACTCCTTGCGATTTTGACCCATTTAGTCAGTGAAAATCCCTTTGAATGTGAAGTGAAGCAGCGTCCGGTGGGTGTTACCAAGAAGAGTTGTTGCTTGAAGCTATTTTTCCCTTCCCTAAATTTAAGCTGTAACCTCTAGCAACAAGTTATGAAACAACACTTGGCTTTCTTAATACGCACTGCTCAAATGCTGGTTAATCAAAGAGCTGTTTAAATGCCGCGCGATATATGAAGCGACCACCATCTCCACAGGACAAAGGTAGACTCTCTTGAAATAGTCGCATCATCTGATAACTCGGATGCCACGCTGAGTCTCTGACTTCTTTATTATTCAGTAGTGTGTTGAAGTATGTCCCATTAATTATAGAACAGGCCTGTGTAAGAAGTGCTGGATGGTCCAAGAGGTCTGAGCACTCTCCCCCATCCACTGTCTCTCCCATTCTTTCTCTCTCTCTCTCTGACAGTATATTAGGCTCAGTACACACACCAGAGTCACATGCTTCAAGATTTGACTGAATACATATGCTATAATCTTGGGAAGAGATGGTGTCTTAAATAAGCATAACTATAATATGTTCATAAAATGGTTTTCCGTAGACAAGATTTCAAAAGTCTCAGCTGCCTCACTTGCTGTGTTTTGTTTTTTAAATATTTAAGATGCTCGGAATAAGAGACCAGATAAATTTAGAAGCAGCGGGGAGGGATGAGCTGAACTTGTTCTTTTTTTTCTGTCACATCACACTGTGTTCAAAAATAGATGAAGCAACATTTTGGCTGATTTGATTTATTTGGTTTTGCACATTGCGTTCATTTCGGCATAGCTTAAACTCTACAGATTATTAGATGAATATAGATTAGCATCTAGAATCAGATGTTCTCAAGGAAAAAGATAAAGGTATCATAAAGGTATAAAGTTATGGAGCAAGGCAGTTTGTGTGAGAGCAATGCTAGCATAAATCTTACAATGTGTTGTTTGAAGTGTTATTTTATGCAAGAATGTATATTGAACTTTAAGCAATTTACATTTCAGTATCCACAATGGCTTTAAAAGATCTGTAGCAGGTGGGGGCTGCTGGAGACGAAAATAATGATGTGACACAATTGAAGAGGAGTTTCTAAAAAGGACCTTTTAGTGTGATTGTTTCGGCTTTGAAACCAGCAACAATGAGAAAGCGACTGAGTGACAGATTCAGACAAATATGAACTTTTTTGATATTAAGTCTTTGTGATACCATCAGCAGCATCAGAGCAGCTACTTTGTCTTAAAAATAATGTCTTTCAGCCACGTCAAGAACAGTTAAATAGAAACAATCTAAAGCAGTAGAGCAGTGTTACTGTACAGGGACAGAGGTACCAAGCTGCAGCCTCTCCAAGACAATAGTAAGAAATCTGTTGTCTGTACTCAATGGAGGGAATAATTTCTGCATAGTGATGCGTTTTATTGTAAAAGCCCAGTGATTCACTGCAGCCGGTTCCTCCAGACTGAGTTCAAAGCCACGCTGGCACAGTCGAAGCTGCTGAAGAGACATACTGTTTGGTCCGCAGTAATTTCACTCTCTCCTGCCCCTGCGGTGTCCTTACGTCCTCAAGCCTGGCAGCTGACCATCCGGGGACACGGCATGGCTGAATAGATAGGAGTAACGCTTTCTCCTCTTCCTATCCTCCTGTGAAGACCTCCTCTATTTATCCTTATCACGAGACTCCAGCTTAGCTCCTAAACAGCCATAGCTCTGTGGAGTCAAGCTTGCCTGAAAGCTGGCAGCCAGTGCTGATCAATGCAGACTTTATAAATCATAATATCTCAGCTGCTGAGATGCTTTTAGACCTTACACTGTATTGATTTTGCTGAATTATTCATGAGACTTTTTCACAACCCTTCTGTGGCTTTCACAGAGTGACACATCTAACCACAATTGTTTTGTTACACTTTAATTTATCAGCTGTCAAATCCATCTCTCTAGCGTTTTTTTCTTTTTTCTTCTTTCAGCCTGTCCACTTGGCCCAGAGCTGTTTCCAAGTAGAAGCCTTTGGACGCACCTTCACTTTAGACCTGGAATTAAATCAGTTAGTATTACCCTGTAAATTCATCAGATCTGCTTTTTTTTTGCACATTTTGTATCAGTGGGTGCTCTTAATTTACTGCAGCTGTTCTAATTAGCATTTCCCACACTTAAGCAAATGCACTTAGCGCCTCTATTATGTTTCATGTCAAGATGGGGAACACCAAATAAATTTGTGGGAGAACAGACAGCAGAAAAAAATCCCAGTTTATTATTATTATTATTATTTCTGACTAGAAAGGATGCTGTTGCAAGTATTTATAATATCTTATCTCTCTTTGCAGCCATCTTCTGTCTTCAGATTATGTAGAACGGCACTTTAACCAGGATGGCAGTCCCTTTCAGTCTGTGGTAAGGTTTTCTGCATAAGGTGGGATGCTCACATGATTTCAGTGCATGAACGTGATTCAAAGCAGCATTATCAGCATATTAAAGAGAGTGACCAGAGCAGCAGTGCAACACTCACTTAAAGTTTTGCTTCCTCCTGACAATCCTGAACTGATATAGATCAGATTATATAACAAAATCCTTCGGCTCAAACTGTATTTATTTTTATTATTCTTATTTTAGAAGTAAAACACACTTTTTAAGCCATCTTTTTTAAAATTATTGTGCTGATGTTTTCTACTATTTGATCACAACCTCGTGCTTTTATCTATTTATGGAAAGTGCATTTCGTCCTCCCTGCTTTAGAAGTAAGCTCGTGAACATTACCGGTCTGCACATATGTGGGTTTGCCTATCAGTACGTATGCATGCCTCTCTGCTTTTCTCAGACTGCTGAGAAAGAAAGGAAGTGATCGCCCGTGGTGTAAAATCACAAGCCCACGGAGAGAATCGTCGAGCGAACGTGGAAACGGGATAAAACCTTGACATCTAACGATGAGCTGTGTGCTTGTCAGGAGGGACCAGTGGAATGTGACTGCATTGTGCAAGCCAGGAGGGATGGCTAATGTTTGTTTTTTTTCTTCGCTTTTTCGTGGACAAATGTGCCACTCACTGCCCCCAGCACCCACCCACCCACTCAGCCAGCTCTCACATCCCACCCACAATCATTTCGAACTCTCCTTCGGTCCTCCTGACCAATCACAAGCCTGTTTCCATAGCAACCAGTTAGCTCAGCAGTGTCATTAAGTTCTTGGCAGCGAAGAGAATGAAAGAAGACCGAAAGGGAGGGAAGAGCAGATCTGGAATGAGAGGAGGAGGAGGGGGATATATGGAGTAAAATGCCAGTTAATACAAAAGCAAGATGAGCTTTGGGATTGGGGAGGAGTAATTCTGGGGGTGTATGTGTGTTCACAGGCAGTCAGATTGTGCCTGGAGTGGTGAAAAGAGAGAAGGGGCGTGCAGGGTTGAGGCTGGAGACCTGTGGTTAGACCAGATTGTCCCTCAGCTGGATGGAGGCTTCATGTGATGATGCCGCTTCTTCTGGACATAGCAGGCGTGATGCATTCAGGGCAGCACTTAACCAGAGTGATCCCTGTGATTAAAATACTTTCAAGTTCAAAGGCATTGTTTCCCTGAGCTGCTGTTGTGAGGTCAAAGCGCCCTGCTGAAATCAATTTAATCCAGGTGAATCAATGGTTCTCACATTTCCCGCTGGTTCTCTTCACCGCTTTAACCTTGCAAAGCAGCGTCAGTGCTACATGACAAGAGCAGATTCCTCTTTGGGGTTTTTTGCGTTTAGTCGCAGCCTGTTTGCTGTACAGTTACTCCACATTAAATTTTAAGAAATAACTGTGTGGGCAATGTTAGTGTTGATTTATTGAAGAGGTCCTTGGGCATGGTGTACTTCCAGCTCTATTGTCAGTAGAGTAAAGGAGTGGAGAACACGATACAAGTAGGTCATAAACTGTGCCACTAACATCTTAAAACAGGAAAGCACGGAGAGGTTTTTCCTCACTTCTCACCTATTGTGATATCAAATGATCTATGAAATTGTCCCTATGAAGCTGAGAGTGTGTCAGCAGAGGTTATTGTACTAAGCAGTGGTTCTTTGTCCTCACAGGGAGGGGAACACTGCTACTATCAGGGAAGGTTAAGAGGTTTACCAGAGTCCTGGGCAGCTGTCTCCACATGCCATGGCTTGTGGTGAGTTTGACAGTAGACCTTGTCTGTAACTTCAAATACTAACTCCCTGTGTGTTACAAATTAGCCTCCCAAACTCACCCTTTATTCTTCATCTTGTTGGTGGTTCTCAGTGGCATGTTCTCTGATGGCTTCTTCTCTTACGGTATTGAGCCCTTTCACAATGACAGCAATCAGGTAAATGACCTGTGACTATAATACAGATTTTTATAGTTAAACATTTTTGTTTTAGGTCCTAATCTTAATATTTTCACTTTAGTATGATGGTGCTCACCTAATACGCAGGATGCCTGATATCAGACTTCCGGCCCATTGTCCAGGTATAAAGCCACACTTATCTTACATTCATGACACATTTGACTTCATTTAGGAAAGAACCTATGCCAAGCGCAATTTTTCAAAAGTCTGAAAATAAATGTCACTTTTTGATTCACAGAAGCTGCTCAAAAGCAGCCATTTTCAAAAATACAAAATCATTTCATAAAAATAGATCAAATCAAATTCATAAGAAATGGATAAATAAGCTGGGTATAATTAAATAATAAGAATAATTTTAAATATATTACATTCACAGTGTTCAAAAGGGAACCTGTTTTGTTCCTTTCCAACCTTGTTATGTTAAATTGCAGAGAGTAGCTTTGTATCATTCAAAGTTTGTGAAATAAGCATTTTTAGCTCCCTTCCTCCAGCCTTGAAGTCAACCTTCTTCTGATTGGCTGCCATTCCTGAACAGTAGTTGGGTCATAGCCCGAACGTCCTGGTTTGGATGACCACATTTGGCATATTTGCTCTCAGTGACATCACACAGAGCCAAGTATAGAGAAAACATCTAAACTGAGCATTTAGAGTAGTCAGACACAGAGCTTTTGGTTCATAGGAACTCTCTGCGTATTATTTGAAAAATTTGCAATGTTTAACATTATTATTTGCTCTTGTAACAGTACATATGTTTCAGAAAATGAGTAAAATTATAACAGGTCACCTTAAAGATTCGATTTTTCATTGTTTAAAGCCAACTTGAGCTAATAATTTTCTGTCCTCTATCTTCCTTAAAAAGTAATATTTCCCTCTAACTGCCTGCAGCTCTGCTTTTTTATGTGTCCAGACTGTACAGAGGACAGTGAGTGGGATGGCAGAGGAGGTGATGGTGATGATGATGACAGACCGGACCAAGTGAGGGAGCAGCAGGCGTCTGGGGGTCTGCGACGGTCCAAGCGAAGTGTTCGCAAGCCTCTGTGCAGACTGAGACCAAATATATTGAGCTGATGGTGGTCAATGACAATGATATGGTGAGTGCTAAAGGTTCTTGGTAGCCTGATGACTGTAGTGTGTACTGCTTAACCACATACCCCATGGTTTGTCCAGTACTTCTCCTTATTTATTGTCTAAAATTTCAGTGCCACAATCAATAAGGACATAAAATCTCCCCAAAATTACAAATGTACTTGTACAGAGAGGAGCAGTACCTAAATATCACCAGGATTTGCATGGCTAACAGTAAACAAGAATAGCTGCAAATGCTTGTCTGATAGCAGTTTGTGAGTAAAAAATAGCAAGTTAAAAGATAAATCAAATACAGAGCCCAGTAACAAGTAGAAATATACATTTTATCATCATAATATCAGCATTTAAATTAATACCTTTTTTTAGTGGCCAGCTCAACAAAGAAGGATGACACACTGCCACTTGCAGAGCAGTGACCAGGTGTTCTGCAGTATGGCTAATCCCACTCAGCTCCACTCAGGAAACGCAAACAGAACCCACATAGAGCAACCCCTCAAGAGGGCCTGGGGCTGTCACATATTGCTAGTTGTACACAAACATATGAGCTTTTATTTTTATATAGCAACAAAGCTGCCAGAGGCCAGGCAGTCCAGTTTCATTAGCTCCAAGCTTACACTGACATCAGAATATGTTAGGACTGGACAGTGTACAGGTGTTCATATGCTAGTTGAACGTTTCTTAAAGGAATACAGACAAAGCAATGGATATGCAATAAGAAAAAAACTGTGACAGACTGACCTCCTTTGACAGGTAAGGATGGATAAGAGTCATGGTAAAACTATAAACATGAAGAGGCAGAGAGACTACAAACCTAGAAAACTAAATTAAAGAGAAATATCTGGCAGAATAGATGATATAGAGTGTAATCAAGGAAGTGGAAATAGGTGCATAATGAGACACAGGTGTAGACAATCAAGACAATCAAAAGGGGAACAAAAGACTCACAGGAAGACACAACAGATAACCCACTGCTGAAGTAAAACAGGGAACAAACTGAAAGGCACAGACAAACTACTAGGTACAGAGCTGATGCAAACTTACACTGAACAGAATGCAGAAAGAACATTGGGGGAACACACAAGTAACACACTGATGAAACTACAAGTCAAATACAACAGATTTCATTGTTAAGCAAAAAGCAATATTTGCATTTCATTTAATTAACCGAAACTTTGCCACTTCAGTTGACATTGGTCATGCAAGAAGTACATTGAAACATTCCATGTAACTCATTCCTTATATCACTTGGTCAGTACAAGTAAATCAAATTACATGTCTGATTGTGTATTTGTGTGTAGCAGAGCTGATGTGATCCATCTCTTAAGCCATCTGTGCGTCTTTTCCTCTACAGTTTGTACAGCTGCGTCGCTCAAGCAGCCAAACCAAGAACTTTGCCAAAGCTGTGGTCAACACGGCGGATACGGTAAGTGATCGGTTTGCAGGAAATTAATCCTCCTACTGCTAAACTCTGCCTTCTCACTTCGCCACCTGTCAATAAACACGTGTGTGTGTGGGAATGATCTGTCCCAGATGACACTTACAAAAAATCAGACCAAAACACCAAATGAAGCAGTGCACTGATGGGCATTTTGTGGTCCTCAGATCTATCAGGAACAGCTCAACACAAGGATTGTACTGGTCGCCATGGAGACCTGGACCTCTAAAAATATGATGCCAGTAGTGGAAGACCCATTGACAACGCTGCAAAACTTCATGAAGTACAGGAAGGACAACATCAGAGAGCAGAGTGATGTAGTCCATCTTTTCTCGTAAGACCGTCAAAATAAATAAATAAAATTTTAATGGGAACTAAAGCTTATGTGATGTCTGGACTTGCAACTTTGGCTTTCCTGTGCTCACAGAGGGCGTAACTTTCATAGTAGCCGTAGTGGGACAGCCTACACAGGAGGGGTGTGCTCTCCAACAAGAGGAGGAGGAATTAACGAGGTAAGGAAAATATAACATGATTATAATTTTCTATTACACAGATAGGGTTTATTATAAATTTTAACCTAAAATGAGTAATCCATCCATCCATCAGTTTTCTTAATAGCTTATCCATTTGATGGCCACTAAAGGTTATCTCAGCTATCATAGCGCGAGAGGTGTGGTGCTAACTACTGTATTACTGTGAATCTCTAATTGGACTTATAATATAAATTGAAATTTAGTTGTAAAGCCAAATTTTAAGTTTTTATGTATTTTTGTTATAATATTAAAATCAAATCATCAATAAGTAGGACTAAGTTCTCTGATTTAAAACATAGCTGAAAATAATTTATATGAAGCATATATTTTCAAGTAGGTACAGCAAAAAAAGTTGCGAGACTGAACCTGCTCAGTGACTGGGGCTATTCTTTGTGCAGTTTTCATGCTCTACTCATGCTTATGTGGGATTCCTGTGGGTGCCCAGGTTTCCTCCCTCAGTCTAAAGATATCTGTGTTTGATTATCAGGCGATTCTAAATTGATTGTGTGGAGGTGAAAGTTGGCTGTGTCTCTGTGTTGGACTGGCAGCCTGTCCAGGCAGAGGGACCAGGTGTCCCAGCACAGCAGTTTTATCCTGTTTGTAAGTCGTAGAATCAGCACTGAGGCAGAGACGAGCTACTGCATAAGTTAGATGAGTGTAAGTATTCTAGGGTCTGTTGAAAAGTGAAGGACTAGTGGAACAGGAGACTGTTGCAGTAGAGAGAGGACAGAGGGAAAGTGAAGCTGTCAGTTTACTGGTCACTATAAGTTCCTACCCTCATATATAGCTAACAAGCTTTGGGTTGTGACCAAAAGAAATAGATCACAGACATAAGCAGCAGAACTGCAAGTATCTGTGTTCTCTTTTAGAGATAGCACGAGGACCTCAGCCATTTGGGAGGGACTCAGAGCAGAGGCACTATTCCTCCAAATTCAAAGAGCCAGTTGAGGTGGTTTGGGCATCTGGATAGGATGCTTGTTCAGTGCTTCCTAAGTGACGTGTTTTGTGCAAAAGCGTGTAACTATTGCAGTTTGTACTGTGCATTAAATGCAGGAGTTGTACACGGGGCCACAGGCAACAATGATTTCCTTTGTCATTTTGTGGTGGATAAGCTCAGTCTCTCACAAACGTGCTCCTGTGATTAGCCAGCACGTCATAGAGTGGGTGGGAGGTATTGTCCAGCATTGTCCTTGTCTTGGACAACATCCGCCTCTCCGGCAACACCTTAAGGGAGTCCAGCTCCATTCCCACAACATTAGTGGCCTTACCAATCAGTTGTTTTGAGTCTGTTGGCATCTGCCACTGCTGAGATTCCTGCCTCCACAACACAGATGTAAATGACAGGGGGAGGATGGATGGATGGATGGATGGATGGATAAACTCAACTTATGTGACTCACAATAAATATGTGTCGCAAAATATGTGTCCCCACTTCACAGCAAACTTTTACATGTATTCCATGTGAATTTGTTTCAGTATGGAAATGTAGGTGCGATGGCCATCACTTTGTGCCAGAGTCTTGGCCAGAACATTGGGATGAGGTGGAACAATGCACGTAACTCTGCAGGTAAGATAGAAGGAAAGCTTTATTTACAGGGAACTGTAAACCCAGCACTGGAGTGAATAGATTAACAAAGTAAGAGAGCAACATTGGTGCTGGTAGGATTAAGGCAGTGGGGGTGGAGGTGTTAGTGTCCCTGTCCAGCAGTTCTCTTCTGTAATTATACTCCTTCATTAGGTGATTAGTCACCTGCTTCCAAGAAGGAGGAGGTGGTGGTTAAAGCATCCTTGCCACTAAAGAATAGGCTCTATAACCATCAGTTGTATTTTTCAATGCCAAACACATAGATCTATACTGTATCTCTTATCTTTATTTGTTATGAGTACAAGTTCATAATGTCTTGCAGCAGCATTTAAAGCATCACAGCTTAAGTTATAAATGAAGATCAGTGCATTATTTTATTCCTTTAGTTTATGTCTGTCATCTTTGCCGTTCTTCACAGGAGACTGCAAATGCCCAGATGCCTGGGTGGGATGCATCATGGAAGACACAGGGTAAAATCCCTTTAAGCTACAGTTTTGTCTTACTAATTTCCCTGACTTAAAAAATGAAACACCTGTAACAGAGAGAAACTTTAAATTTTACTGTCTTTCGATTAGTCAAGCCAGTGATAATCACCGATGCATTTGATGCTTTGTGCAAATTTGCTGAAACATAAGACATCAGTGTGCCGGTCACCGTGTAAGAATTACAAATGGTGAATTGAAAGTATTTACTACATGAGTGATTTGGATTTAGCTCCCCTTGCCAGATGGAACAATAAAGATTTCAATTATTCATTTGAGTAATATCTTACTACAGATGGTAACATTTCTGTCAGATTGCGACGTGATGGCACAGACACCCACAATGGATCTGGCATTCCTTACTGACAGAAAAGTATCATGCTGTTTTTATTTTTATTTCCTTGTCATGTAGTGTCTTGATCTTCCTTTGTGTTTTTTTGTCATCACAGATTCCATCTGCCCAGAAAGTTTTCTCGCTGCAGCGTTGACGAGTACATCCAGTTCTTGCTCCAGGGAGGTGGCAGCTGCCTGTTCAACAAGCCCAACAAGGTGAGGGCCATGTGGATATGTGGCCTGTGAAATCTTTTTTTAAATCAAAATACATATTTAATTCGGAGTCGCACATTATTTTTTTGCTTTAATCCTTTGAATAACCTTTACTTAATCTTTTACCTTTGTCTCTTTTAGCTCTTGGACCCTCCTGAGTGTGGGAACGGGTTTGTGGAGCCAGGAGAAGAGTGTGATTGTGGATCCCAGCTGGTAAGTAGCTGGCTAGACTGGTTAACCTACTGGAAACAGGTAGCGTCTCCACATCATGTCTATGTATGGGCCCCAAATGGTGTCTTGTTTTCTGGAACTCAGCTGTTTTCATGTCTGTGGTGGCAGGAATGTGCCCGTAGGGGAGGAGCCTGCTGTAAAAAGTGCACCCTTACCCATGATGCCATGTGCAGTAACGGACTCTGCTGCAGTGGCTGCAAGGTGAGCAGCCCTGTATTACAAAGAGCCTGAAAAGTAAATTAAACTGACTGAGTGAAATTTGAACATCAGGTTTACTTTGTCAGAGCATTTATAGTATTTTTCTCCTTTATATGTTATCAAAACTTCTGAAATTTAAAAGATTCAGAAAGTCTTAATTTATGCTGGTGCGGTGACAAGAACAAGAAGTGTGTCATGTTTCTTATGACTCACAACATTTTCAGACTTCTCAGCCTGTATGGTTGCGCGGCATGCATTAAAAATCACCCATATGACAACTGATTGACATGTTTGTCTGATGCCTTTTTTTTTTCTCTGATGCGTGTTAGTATGAGCAGAGAGGCGTGGTGTGTCGACAGGCTGTGAATGACTGTGACATCCCGGAAACTTGCACTGGAGACTCTAGCGAGGTAGCACTCTCTGTACACAACACTGAAAACTGTAAGATCACATAAAACGGCTTCCAGTTCATGATGTACTTTCCTACTTTTGCAGTGCCCTCATAATGTCCACAAGCTAGATGGATACATGTGTGATAATAGTCAGGTAAGAGATGGTTTTGGCTGTTTTCTAATATGCAGTTGAGTTTGTGGTACACTAATTAGCACTGTTTCACCCCTTTAGGGACGATGTTACAGTGGACGATGTAGGACACGTGATGGACAATGCAAGGGGCTCTGGGGCTATAGTATGTGTTAAACACATCCACAGCATCTCTTCCAGCATATGACATTTTTATTTTACTAGTTTAGTCTGATTCTGATAGTTAAAATATGAATATGTATATTTGTTTGTTTTTCCCATCTCAGATTCAGCAGACAGGTTTTGTTATGAGAAGCTGAACGCTGAGGGGACAGAAAAAGGAAATTGTGGCCCCGGTCCTGATGGCCAAGGCTGGCTCCAGTGCAACAAGCCGTAAGTGGCAAATTCCCGATTCTCTTTTTTGGTTTTCTTGCACTGTATGTTAGCATTTTCCTTATTATTGCACGGTCTGAATTTCAAGTGTCTCTTGAATGGTGGCCTTATTTTAAGATTTTCCACCAATTTCACTGAAAAGATTCAAAAGATTCAAACATAAAGAAAAGTGAGGAAAAATGGGCACATGCAATACTGCCGGTATGGTCATCCCAAGACAACAAGCAGCTGGACAGTGTCCAGAGAGACAACAAAAAAGGCTCCACAGAGCCTGACCCTTCCAGACATCCTGAAAATAGCAAAAGTTTGAAAATTAGAGGGATTCACACACCCCCAAAAAATCCACCCTGGCTGTGGCTCAGGAGATAGTCTTCCACTAATTAAAAGGTCTGTGATTCAATCTCTGAATCATTCAGTCCTCAAAGGGTCCTTGTGTGCAATCTCAACCAATTTACTGATGCATCAATCAGGAAGTCATTCATAAAGTTCTGTAAGGATGGAATAAAAACTCTGTCTATATGTGTATGAATGTGAAAGAGTCACCTGCTCATTCTAGGCGTGACCTGAACATAATCCTCAGTTGGCCTGTCAGTAAGGAAAAATAAAACTTCTATAAATGTATAGAAATCTATAATACATTTATGAATTGCACTGTTGGTGAAATGTCATGTTCCTTTTTTCTTATTGCATCGGCTTCTTTTAGAGATGTTTTATGCGGGTTCCTGTTCTGTGCTAATGTGACAATGAAGCCAAAGTTTGGAGACCTCCAAGGTGAAGTGACCAGCTTCACCCTCTATCACCAGAACAAGTACTTGGACTGCAGGTAGTCACATTAAATTCATCCAATCAGTCACAAAGGCTGTTGTCCATTAGTATCCCTTGGTGTTGTAATTCTAACTCTGTCCTATCTATCTCTCATGTTTGGATGCTTCAATTAGGGGTGGCCATGCTCTGCTAGAGGACGGCACAGACCTGGGCTATGTGGAGGATGGCACTCCATGTGGTCCCAACATGATGTGTTTGGAGAGACGCTGCCTCCCTGTGGCTGCATTCAACCTCAGCACATGCCCAGGATCCAACTTCGGACGCATTTGTTCTGACCATGGGGTAAAAGAAAAAAAGACAAAGCTAATATCTTCTCATTTTAGAGTGACACTGTCGATTTTTTCAGTCTAAATTTGAATGAAAAATTAATGTTTTTTATGTGAACTTTAACTGTTTCAACACCCTTTTAAGCATCACACATAGGACCTGCTTGAAGAACAGGCTTACGTTGATTATGTTGATCAATGCCAAATCATTTTAATGTTCTTATATTCAACTGCCCCGTCTTTCTCTTAGCAGATAGCTAATTGGGCTTCTCTCCCATCAAATCTCTTGCAGACCTGCAGTAATGAAGTGAAGTGTATCTGTGATAGGGACTACACCGGGAAGGACTGCAGTGTCTTCGATCCCATCCCTGAGCCCACGGTCGCAACAGGCCCAGAGAAGAAAGGTCCATAGCAACTCTCACCCTGTCCATGTCTCTCTTTCTGTCTGCCTCTCACATCCCCCTCATAGTCTCTACCCATCATCCCTTTAGCTTCTTCATGTACTGAAGTCGACTACCTCACATTGGACAAAAAGGATAGTTTACCTGAATATTGTGAGGAAGTTAATTTTTAGACCACACAGTGTTATCCTTCCTGCTGAGTCTTGGTTTCAATGTTGGAAGATTGTGTGGGTGTGTTGAGACACATTTATCCATTAGAGCATGTGTATGTAGTGAATGTGTGTGTGTGGTGGTACTGTGTGCTTTGCAGGCACTGCGATTTTCAAGTGTCTTCCTTACTTTCTTGCAGTCTGCCAATGACACAGAGCAATTGAGCAGCTGCTGCTCTTATAGAGCCAAAAAAGCCAAAGCCACCCTGAGCAGGAGGGTGTCCAGCTGAAAGAGCAGGAGAGGTGGAATGAGAACAAAGTAATAAAACACTCTCTCCTTTGTATTTTTGTTACTGTTGTCTTCCTGACTTCCCTCGCTCACCCGCCTGTTCTCCCATCTCCACCCCATGGGCTGGTTACTTCCTCTTTCCCTGCATCTCTCTTTCTGTCTGCAGGTATCTTGCCATCTTTCTCTCTCTCTTTCTCCCTCTCTCTAGTTGATGTTGTTGATGTACAGTGTTGATGCTGTCTTCTGACGTGTGTTTTTTAGTGGTGTTGTTTTGTTTCTGCCCCTCCTCTTCCTCCTCCTCCTCCTCCTCCTCCTCCGCACCCTTCCTTCCCTCCTCCTTCCTCTGCGCAGGTCCAAGTGGCACCAATATCATTATAGGGTCCATCGCAGGTGCTATTCTCCTGGCAGCTATAGTCCTAGGGGGAACAGGATGGGGATTTAAGTAAGAGTTCTGGCATGCCTTTCTGTACCTGTCTGCTTCTACCTAAAGGACGTCCCCGCCCCTCCCACTCTCACGTTTATGAACTAGATGCCCATTTGCAACTCACTGCCCAGCCCAGGGGAGGGGAAATGGGGAGTCAAGTCTGAGACGTGCTAATGCTTGAACCGCTTTTGGCTTTTAAGATCCATACAAAACACAACTACGCTGTAATCAACTCTGAGCTCCATCCTGCACCTTTCCTCCCTCTCCATCCTCTTTCCAGACCCATTTTTTTAGTAATGACAGGGCAAGACATGTTTTTTGCCAGGAACCACTACAGCCCTTTTCTCAAGTCTACTAGAACAGACCTGACTTACCCTACTGGTGCCACATTTTCCCCCACCTGTTTACTCTCCATGTAAAGACTAAAAACGTTTTTGTTTTGTTTTTTTGACACTGGGTTTACCTAAGCATTCATTTTGTCATATACTCTTACGTTGGTGCTTTTAAACACCTGCATTATCCCTTTTCTCTGTAGGCAGCATCCTAACCTCAAATGCCCTTGCTGAAGTGCTCCTTCCGCACTATTCCACCTATGCATGCTTGCTATTATGCACTACTTATGGTCTGACCTAAAAGGACTACTGCTGCTCTAATAGACAGTCAGTATATATGATATATGATGTATATGATAATTCTTTGATATATAGACAACAGTAAATTAAGAAGCAATAAGTGATTCTTAGTTTATAGAATGCAGTCAGTCCTTTTGGGGCCAGAAGTGTCTGTGCATGTGTGCATGTGTGCATGAGCCATAAGCAAAGTTTTCTCTTCCTAATCATACTGCTGGCTTACTGGGTAATATTATCAGGCATAGCTGTGGCAGACTTCTGTAGACCTGCTGCATGTGATGTGATCACTACAATGTGATGAAGATTTAGGGAAGGACTGGTAGATGAATAATGGATTGAGTCATTGTTTGAGTCATGATGGAGCTAATTCTGACTTGACTTGAGGCAGTTTGACAAGAAGGAAACTCTTTTTTTTTTTAAATCCTTAAGTCCACTCTAAGTTGTGTTTACTTGCTTTGCTACTTACTTTGCTTTTTACATAGAATTATAACTTGCAAAGCACATTAATTCTTATTTGTGTGTCATGAGTTCTTCATTTCTTTTATCAATACTGACTTAAGTATCTCCACATTTTGTCTTCTCTCCTGGCGTTCTCATGGGATGCAGGAACATTCGAAGAGGAAGGTATAATATATCACCATGTAATCTGTACACAGAGCTGCATCCTAAAAATATCCCACTATCTCATCCCAAACTCACTCCGCATGGCTGCTGACACAGTAATCCACCATCTGAAAATCATCTCCACAGAACTTATTCAATCCTTTCCATTTCAGTTCTCTCCTTTTTAAAAAAATTTTTAAAAATACTTTAGATCATTCCTATTACACCAGCTACAAAACAGTAAAGCAAAATAGCTTCTCTCATCGTCATCTCCTATCACCTATATCAGCATATCTATATTAATAAGTGCTTAATTTTCACTTGTCTTTCAGATCTGGTGGAGGATAAGATCTGTCTGTCTTTCTGTCTCTGTGTCCTGTCCACTTCTGTCTTCCTCCTCGCACTGTGTCATTTCACGTTGAAGAAGAGGGGAACAAAAAAAAAATAGGTCTTCCACTACTGTCCCACAATATCTCCAAAACCTCTTCCGAGCATCGTTTCCTCCACGATCGCGTCTGCTCCTTTCGTCTGTCCTCCTGGGACCTGTGGAGCTCCTCTCACCATACCAGCCAAATCATACTCATGTGGCTGCTGCCAGCAGGCCACTGAGGATTACGTCCAGGCCACGCCTAGAGCAAGCAGGTGGCTCTCCCTGTGGGAGACACCGGGGTCTTCCTCCAGTCCAGTGGCTATACGAATGTGCTTTGGTGTCTGTGTACCTCTTCTCACGTCTCGGACAGTCTGATCAAGAACATATCAAAGGTGGACCAAATGAGACACGTCTTTCCAATGCCTGCCTGCACATAAACTAACCCGGCCGTCACTTGAGTAAATGCTGGACTAGCACACACAGACTGAAATAACATAACAGGGGCTGTATTGTTTCCTTTTTTTCTTTAAGGAAACGGACCTAAGATACAGTTCCTCCGAGGTCCAGACGTTGACAAGGTGCATCTTAAAATGGACAGAAATTAGTTTTTAATCTACAACATTTGGCAACGTTGAGATAACTTTAACAAAAAGAACACTATTGTTAGCATGTTTTCCAAAGAAAAGGTGAGTAAGGACTGACTGATCGTAGAAGCTGTTTGTTCTGGATTGCAGTTTGAGTCTTAACTTGAGGCATCCTACCTGCCCACCAATCTCCCACACCCTCAAGTTTTCAGGTACAAAAAAAGGAAGCTAGGTGTTGTGGTTTTGGGATCATTAAAAAAAATATCATATATATGAAGCAGCAGAGACCGTAACTTAGTGTTTTCGATGACAGACCGACCAACATACATTCCACAATATCTGTCTGTGCGTGTTCACCACTTTTGGGCCCAAAGTTTGTACGCTTAGGAAGTTTACTATGTCTGTCTGCTCAGGAGTGAATGTATGGGTGTAAGAGGTTTTTAAAGAAAGTAAGAATGTGTGTGTTTACATTAATGTTATGGGGCAGTTGTGTCTGTGTACACCTGAACATTCCTCCCATCACTGGTTTTTACCTCTAGCAGATCATCTCTTTCTACAACCTGTTGTGCGCTGCAGCCACGCACCCTAAAGGCAGCACAGAAAGAATTCAACATGCCATGTATCTACAAAAAAAAATGAGCACTAGCCAACTGTATGCACACCTATTTGTAAATATGTGCAAGATATACTGAATGTTAAATGCAATGTATGAAGATTTATTTAAAACTATGCTTAAAAAATAATTTATCTGTTTGAGAAAATTTATAGCTATCCATCTCCTGACACGCCCTGCCTCTGCAAATCTCTCCTGTAGACAAAGCTGTCCATGCATCTTTAAATGTGGCCAAAAAAAAAAAAAAAAGCTACGCTTGCCATCTCATCATTTCTCTTGTAGTTCTAACTACCACTGAAATGAAATGCCATGAGTCTTTTGTACATTTGTTGATAGCCCTGATCCCTGGGTGAACGCCTCAGCCCAGAAACTTTGTAAATGAGATTAAAGAGATCTGGTTCGGGGTCCAGAATGCAGCTTGTCTGATGGCGTATGCGGTCAGTTTGGTTTGTTTTGAGCTTTGCTCTATGGCTAATGCACTATTGTTATTAATACAATATGTACAGAGTGGATATCAAATGCAATCGGGAAGAAGAAGGAAGAAAATGAGATGCGTCTTACCCCATATTTTTAGAGACTATCTTTTTTGAAATTAATCAATGAAAAGGAATGAAATCAAGACTGCAAATGGATTAAAATGAAGGGAAAATAAAATATTAAAACACGAAGCCACAACTCTTACTCTCGCATGTCACTGCCTGTGTCTGTTGGTATTTCACAGCTTTAATCGATGGTTAGACTTTCTGCTTTTTTCTGGTTCTTAATTTTTTTTAAATATAATGATTATATGAAACTATCGTAAGAAGGTAGAAAAGAATCATGCAAAACATTGCGTAAATTATATGGCATTAAAGCTTTTATCAGAGCTATTTACACTACTGTGCAGAAGTCTGAAATCGCTCATTTCTTTATATTTTGTGCACGAGGCAGACTTTCTCCTAATTTTTGTTGAAGTTTTCTTGAGCAACAGTTTTCCAGGATTTCTGATGGATTTCAAACTTTGGCTTTGGGCAATACCTTAAAAAAAAAAAAGTCATATGCTTAAAAAACTGACACCTCATCAGAAATGATCTCAGTGGAACAGTGACTGTCAAGAAGCCAAAATAAAGGAAGGGAAACTGGCAGAAAAGACTGAGGTATGCCAGATTACACAAGAACTGGACTGAAAATCAGTAACAACAGGTCTGAGTGATGAATTCAAATTTGAAGTTTTTCCCTCAAATTATTACCAATGTGCACAGAGGAGGTCAAGAGAGATAGAGTCATCTGTAAAACACGGTGGAGGCTTTGTCAAGGTTTATTGCTGCATTTCAGCCAGTGGTGTTGGGGATCTTGTCAAAACTGATGGAATTACAATGGAAGAAAAATGCCATCAGACTTTGATCCATCATTTAATACCATCTGGAAAGAGCTTAATTGTTTAACAGAGATCCCAAACACACTGCCAATGTAGTAAAAGCCTACCTAAATAGAAAAAACACAGAGTAGGAAACTACCAGATATGCACCAGGCTCCTCATGCCTGGTGCTTAACGGTTTCAAAGCTCCAAAGAAGATCTTTGAATGTCCTTTGAGAACTATTTCTGAACACTACTTAAATAAATTATAAGAAAGTTCAGGATGTGCTGAAGAAAACCATGATCGTATAGAAAATATGTTTTTACACTCCATTTCTTTGCCTTTGCATGTTTAAATAAATTGCTCCTCTTTCCCATTTTACTAACACAAACTGAATAAATGAGGGGTGGCTCGAGACTTTTGCACGTTACTCTACATGGAGGGCAAAGTGGGTGAACCATGCAGCAAGAGCTTTGTGCTAAATGGTGATTATTTATCTCAGGTTCATGAGCGCAACTACATCCCAAACACTTGCCTTCCTGTTGTACATCTAAAAATGCCCCACACATCTTGCTTTCATGCTCCGCTGTTGTCCCCAGAGTCGCCACAGATCTTCAATGAGATTTTTTTTCATTTGCTTTTGTGGTTTGGGTCCTTGCTAAATAAGATTAACTGCCTTTTTATAGGGTAAATCCCATGTTATAATATAAACTGGATGCTTACATTTTTTCAAGAGACCAGGTCGACCTCTACATTGTCTTTTTTTTTTTTTTTAAATCAAGCGTCAAATACATTTGCAATATAAAAACATTATTTTTAAACCTTAAATTTAATTTATCAAACATCTTCACCATATTAATCAAACTTGGTTCCACAATAAATTGATTAGAGTAGTAATGTAATCAAAATAGTTTTTACATTGCAAGTATATTTGAGCTTATTAAAGTAGTTATTTTTAAAAAATGTATGATTCCAATCAAAAAGAACACATTAAATTATTTTAATTAAAAGCATCTTATTACCAATATCTTATTGGTGGATGACAAATAACAACATAAAAGCCCCATGTCAGCATTGTTATATCACACCTCACAGCTTTCATTAAATAACAGTAAATAAAAACTGTAGAAAAGTCATTGGCAAATATCAGCATTGAGACCAATGATTGATTAGTCTTTCATACTGATCATCATGATGGGTAATTGTGTCCATTTAATAACCAACTAAGTTAAAATTAAAACAGAGCCCCCCGGTAAGATAAACCATGACAAGAAGCATGGGTTGAGTTAATGTAACTTGGATGAAATTTGATATCCTGCAGTAAGAGGGCCCTAAACACACAGGGTGCTTCTCACTCTGGGAGATTAGGGGGAGAGAAAAAGCTCACATAACAAAGTGAAAAAATCCAAATATATTCATGATTTTTCCCTGATAACAAAAGTAGCTTTCTATTTTGTTACCGTGCATATTTAAGATTTGTTCTCACCTCACAAACGTCATTTACTCATGGCTGTGCATGCACTAACAAGGCTGTGAATTTTAATCTTGTCAAAAAAACAGAAAAAAAGAAATCCCCACAATCAATCACCAGGGGGGCTCTGTGTTTTTGGTTTTTTTGCATAATACTGATAGGAATCTAGATGTTTGTCTGTAGATGGTTCATCATTTTTTGGGCATGTTTTCATGGGAGGTGGGACAGAGTTGGATGTGAAAGTGTTCTGCTCGAAGATAAAGACAGATGTCAGTCTATGACTTCTCCAGTGTCCCACTTAGTTTTGGGTTCCTGCCACCAATCAGCCAGGAGGGACTCCTCATAATCCCCCATACCCTCAAACTCAGTGTCAGGATGGTTTGAGCGAGAGGTGGTCATTTCTTCTGGACTTACAACTTCCTAAAATGTAAAAGAGAAAAACAAAACAAATTAACAGAAAACTCTTTAATGAGGCTACATTCACACTGTTGCGTTTGAAAACGCATTGTTTTCTCTCCGTTTTGGCCTCCCGTCCACACTTTCCCCGAAGGAAAACGCTCTCGAAAACGAATACATTTGAAGACGGTGCTTTAGCGTCACAGTGCGGACAGCGAAAACGGAGACTTTCGAAAACGATGACGCATTTTAGTCATGTGATACAGTCATGTGACCAATTAAACTAAGGTAGCGGAGTTGTTTTGTTTGCTCTCAATTTTGACAGCCCTATTAAAGATTAATATCAGTTTGTACATGCTTCAGATAGCTTTTCTTCAAATTCTTTAATTCTCACTCGCTTTTGCAAAAAACTTGGTGCTTTTCCTCGACATTTTGCTGCAACGTTTCAATGAGCTGGAAAGTAAATAAACGGCAGACAGAAATGAGGCAGGCTGAATCTTCTTGTGTTTCACGCATGTGCAGTAATGGAACTTAAGCGTTTTCGGCCCTTTCAATGTGGATGCACAACTCTGTGAAAACGACTGAAAACACTAGTGTGGACGCGGAGTGTTTTCAGATGAAAAGGCCATTTTCAAATCTATCTGGGCTAGTGTGGACGTAGCCTTACTTACAGTACTATTCAGAGATTCACTGACACATTCTTCTTCTTATGTCTGTAAATCTGTCAACTTTTGCACCCTGTAATTCAGCCTGAACTTTCACAGTCCTCCTTTCCCCTTCTCAGGTCCAGGCAGTGTGAAGCTGGGAGGAGCCGGCCTGAGTTAAATGGATGTGGCACAGTCTCAGTGGCCAACACCTCCAAGCCACATACCACACACTGCTGCCGGAAGACAACCCCCTCCACCCCTTCTTCCGCAGCCTTCACCCCTGTTTCTCCCTTTCATCCTCTGATTTATTTTCCTTTGTGTTCTCTACATTTAATTTGTTGGTTAATTCCCCCAAAGTAAAGGTCTACACTCCTAAAGAAGATATGAAGTTTGCATTTTGAAAAACAATAACAGTAAACCCCAGCTGGATCCTCCAAGTCAAAGACTTATTTTTATCCTCTGTAGTCCTGCAGAGAGTTTGGATTTTATCTGCTGAGGTTTTCAGGCATCTGCGTCTGATACCTCAGCCACTGTTCCAGCACAAAGGGGACCGGTGGAATTTTGTTTTTGTTGTTAAAAGAAAAAAAAAACATCTCAGAGATAATTATCTCTGCAAGCTTAGTCAGATATGATCATCGTAGCTGTATACCAGTAGCTGGATTATAACAAAGGATTTCTTTGTAGTTTAGATGAACATTTATAGTTACTGTTTTTGTAAGAAAATGTCAAATTGGTATAGAAGTCAGACTGTAAGCGTTCAGTGTTTTCCTAATGGACATTTAAAACAATACATATTTAGAGTCTCAAACTGGACTATCCCTAACTTGTAAATTAAGTGCATTGCCACTGTAGCAGCATATAAAAAGATTGGCATAGCCACTGTGACGTCACCCATTGGTTTGTAAAGTGTGGTTTTGAAGCGTCGCACTGATGTTTGGGCTTCTAGCCATCTTGGCTTCTTGAAACCAAAAGTCATGAGAGAGTGTTGGATCTGACCGGCAAACTGAAGTTACTGAGGAAATAAATAAATCTTTTCCCAGTCTTTGCCTAAAATAGGTTTTAAAGGCTTTCCCCCTCTATAAGCTATATTACTATGTATGAACAACATTTGGTAGCGTACATTCATCCAAGTCTTTACAATTCTAATGTAGAGGAATGTGCTGAAACTATTGTGAACCTCCACTGTGTGTGTGCTTGATTGAGACATTTCCTGTTGGAGCTGTTGATTGACTTGGTCCTTGTTCGGCATTTTCAGTGAGAATTATTTTTGCACCATGTCTCTCTCTTATAATATTTCAGACTGCAGTCTATCTATCAAAATGATCATCATTTTGTATTAGATAAGGTTTGAAACCAGCAATAAGTAACATAAACTCATTGGCAAAAGATTTTGTTATAGCTTGTCCTCTGCTAAATTGGTGCCACAGTTCGGTTTGTTTAATGCTGCTAATTAAATGCCATATTGTATAAAGATTAGTCCTTCAGATAATTTTTTTTTCTTTCTTTAAAGGAATTAATGTAATTTCCGTTGACGCTTAAGCTCAAGCCCTCATGCTGTCTAAAAACAGTGCGCCATTAGTCAACATCAGCCTTTGAGCCAAGTGTAGAAACATACCTCATCGTCTGTTTGCAGGTAGCTCAGAGCAAACTCCAGCATTTCTTTCTGTTTGGTCGTCTGGTTAAAGTACCTCAGTGCCTCCTGGAAAAGTTAAAGGGACATCAGCTTTTGTGTAAGCTCAAGCAACCAGTGGGAACAAACAAACAGTTTTACAACACAGAGCTGAATGACAAATTTGGCTAGCTGGTTTTTTGTTTACTGGCTTTTCTCCTCTAAGTTTAGAAGCCTTCATGTGTTTACAGCAGCACTACATGTATTTAAAACCAGGATGCAAAGAACTTTACAGGCTAGACCAGCTTCAGATGGGTCTAGCCCATAAACTGCACTGCAGCTGCTGCCAATTTTACACCCTGCAGAAAAGACAGGAAAACATATCTGCCGTACACAACTATACAAGTTTCTAATTACCACCCTGAAATTGTGTTAATGTTCACGCCGTGACCGCTTCATGCTACCATTTTCCTGCTTTGCAATATGCACCGCCTGCTGCTTCCAAACAATCCAGTCTGCATGAGCTGCAGCTAAACCGCTCAAGTCCTGGAAGAGCCGATGAATGAAGACTGGTACAGTTTTTGTTTTACTCACAGGCCGAGGTTCAAAATCATTATCGTTGAGGCCCCACTGCTCCCGGTAGAAGCGATAATACGCCACATTTTGTTGCATCACCTGGTCTTTGGGGTCGAACAGCATGTAACTTGCTGCACACGGAGCAGCGTTCTTTACATCATTTACTGGAAACAAAGTAATACATGTTTTAAAAAACCCATTATATTACACAGATCTCTGCAAAACAAAGCCAAAGTCTTGGTAATAGTTCTTACATTTATAATAAGAAAACTGGAGGTAGTGATACATAGTAGCTACAAACTTCTCCACAAAGAAGCCTCCAACGCTGGGTGTCAGGTTCTCCTCGCATTTAAATTTACATTTCAGAGCATTTATATAGAGATCTGATGGAAGCAAGAAGGAGAAAATGTTATTTTGCCTCAAATAATCTGAATTTAGACTGCTCCTGAATGACTCTCCTCTTACCCGCCATGCTGGGATAGAAATCTTTGAACTCCACAATCTCATATGAGCTGTCACAGCCAGCTAAACAGAGGTTGTATACTTCAAAGTACTGTGTGATGGCCTGCTCCATGTTTCTAGCACTGTTGCTGAAGTCTCCGTTGTTGTAGAGCGTCACACTTTTCAAGAAAACACTCTGTGTAGTAAAGAGATTCATTTAAAAAAAAACCAAAAAAAAAAACCATAGAACTCAAACATCAGACCTCTCATTGGTGCAATACGACAGTGCTTAGGGTACAAACTTCATATGGCTGCTCCTCGTGATCAATGAGATATTCCTCCACGTCAAACAGTGTCTTGTAGTAGTTCATGTTCTTTGTTAAGAGGACATCATCTGGGTTCTTCTTCAGGAAAGTGTGAGTTGCAGCCACTGCCTTCTCCAGGTTGTTAAGCTGAGGGAGAATGTAACACATGGCACTGGAGTTACAGGAAGATACTTTTTTTTTTACTTTTAAGGTAAACGTTTTTAAAAGAGGACATGTCAGAGCACATCATTTCTTGAGAAGTCAGTAAACAGCTGATAGATGCAGTGGTTGGAAACTAAGTGATAATATCAGATATCACACACCAGAGTCAGGTAAAAGATCTGGACAGATGTTCGTGGAAGTGGGTCGGTATACCCTGTTAGTTTGAAGTATAATAAAAGGTATCATTTTGGGGGAGGGTTAATCAACAATAAATAAATATGCAGAATAATCTCTGAGTGAAAGAGGGGGGCACAGCAGATATTCTGCTTTTAGGATTCAGAGTTAAAGGGTTTCTGATGATGTACGTTCAATTAATTTCCCCCACAGCATGGATGTTGTTAGTGTGGAGGCAATTTAATGACCAAGCATACTTTTTACGCGAAAGATCTTGCCGACTAAGTACCCCCACCCCCCCATCACTCTGACAGAAGAATAGGGGGATTGTTTTTAGGGGAACACTGGAAGAGACGTGGCACATGCTCAACTGCTGCTTGGCCAGCAGGAGGGCGCACAGCAAAGTAGTGGCGAAATTACACTCCACAGCTAACCCACTAGAAATTTCCTCTCGGTAAGTAAAACGAGCCAGCCTGTCTAGAGAAGCCAACTGCAGACGCTTTTGTTGAATGAATGCTCCCGTTACGCGTAAGATATTCTTGTGATATGCCGTGCTTAAGTACTGCACCAACTTTGCATTACACTCCCAGAGTCCCAGTGAACTCACTTCCACACTTAGTCTCACCTGGAAGTATGCATACTGTATGTAACGATAAGGTATCCTTTTCTCGAAAGTTTCCAATAAATCTCTCCGTGGATATGTGAGCTTAAACACTGGAAAATCTGCCTTGCACTTTTTAAGGCAAGCAGCTCTCAGCAGGATGTGGCGCATGACGCGGAGGCTGGTATCCTCGAACAGGGTGTCGTTGTCCCGGCTGACGGAGCTGCAGTTGCTGCAGCAGAAAGCCTCGCTGTCCCGGAGGAGCCGGTGGAGCCGCAGGCTCAGCTCCAGGAACTTGATAGTTTCTGCCCAGTTTTGCGCTCCGTATTGCTCCATCGCGTAGTTGTACGCGGATTCCAGCGGCATGATGTCCTTCTGAGGGAAACTTTTAAAGCTGTACTTCTCATACTGAGCGTCCACCGGCGCAAAAATAACGAAGAAGAAGGCCAGGAACAAGCTTCTCGTGAGCATCTTTACCTTCACAGGCTCCCTCAGCCGTCTGTCAGTGCTTTGAATGGCTCAGGAGACCTCCTTTACTTTAACAGGGATCGTTCATGTCTGTGATACCTGTAAAAAACACGGGACGAAAACGCGAACATCTAGTCAAGATTTTCAGAATAAAAGCTTTAATGAGCGTTCATCAAAATAAATAAATAAATATTGATCTCTTGTCTTCTGCTCATTCTGTACAGTATTTACTTCTAAAAGATGGTATCGGTCATACATATTCGTTTAAGATAAATAATATAGAACACAGTACGTGTGTGCATATTATTTTTATAGTTAGTCTCATTTTTAAAAAAATTAAACAATTTAAACAACATGACAATTAATGTTTTTGTGCGTAAAAGCTACTGGAAGGCTGCATTTTTAGAATGTCTGGATTAACCTGCTTTTCTTAGTTTAAAAGTGTGGTTGTGAAATTAATATTGTTATAAATATCATTAAGAAACATCCGGTTCGCTACAAGTTGGAGTATTTTTCGTTTATTTAAAATTCCAAAATATAACGGTTTTAAAAAATATAAGGTTTTAAATGCAGCTTGGCAGTCGGTAAAATGCAATCTTGGCAATTACCTTGAAAATAGAGCTCAGTACTTCCGGTATATTTCTTGTTAATTCTGGGGGGCTTGACACAGACGTCACAGAATGAGTTGGGAAGAAAAGGGTCAATGTTTTCCACATAAAACGCAGAAGATGCAAACAAACCAGATGTAATATTACTTTAATCGTTTTTTTTTTTAATTTACATGAATATTTATCAATGTTCATACGAAGTGTCTTATGAGTTGAAGATTCTTGATTTCTGCTGACATTTCGAGCAAATGGACAAGCTGAGACTAGTGAGGTTAAAAATCCATGCGCATAGTTGACACATGACTTGTGGGCATATTTGAACTCCGTGTCTGCAATATTTCAAAATCTTTGCAGTTACCATTAGAAGCCCTTCGGGGTGTCTGGATGAGATGGTTATTAGGATGCAATAACTATTTAAACCGTAGAAGACTCCTTGCATGAGCCTGCCTCCCTGAAATGTGCCACCAGATGATACGGGATTACAAATTCAGGCTCGTTTCATTTGTGAGCTGAAATCATAGAGCCGGGCCTTTTGGGACAGGCATTACACGTTTGCAAGATTCCATTAGAAAGAGGGTGGGGGCCCCGGGGCCACTCCCCCTCCTGCTCCTCTCTGGAGTACAGGACCAGAAAGATACGACAAGCAAGCCTGAAGGAGATGGGATAAGGCCGGAAGTGTGTTTAGTTTTCCATCCACATTAAAAAATATAAAGTATTATTAATGAGAAATAAATTATGTATGTGTCTCAGATCGTGCGCTGTGCTGCATTCAGGGTTGGAACACACGGTGCCACTTAACAGCCAGACCGCATATCTGGAAGTTTCTACACTTGGCAAACAATCTTATTTTTTCAGTTTTCACACACTTTCATAATGTTCTACCGTTCACATTATACATCTGTAATGTTAATGACAAATAGGGTGACCTAGGGTCCCACTTTAAGCGGAAGTGTCCCTTTTCCTGGCTAACACTTATCTCTCAAAGCAGATGTGGTTATTTATCCATACTTCCCTATTGATACCCGAAGATGATAACCAGACATGAGTGTAAGAAGTATATAGGAAGGCTGCATTCAGATAAAATCAAGTATATTTGTACTTTACATGCTAAATATTTCAAATCTGTATAGTTTATGTACAATAATATTATTATTATCATAATTATTATTATTTATGTCACACAAAGTAAGTTAGACTTACAGGGGGGAAAAAGTTGAAATAAGCATTATCAACTTTTATATTGAATATTAAAGTGTCTTTTTTTTTTCTCTCTGTTTGGAGGACTATTATTTTGAAATCCCTTACCGGAAGTCATCTATGTCATTTAAACGAGCTTCACGGCCAGACCAGCGTCAACTTTTTGCTGCTGTATCGGTTCCACATCTTGAACCACATCACCGGCGGGCAGACGGGCTCTCACTCTACTGAGCAGCTTTTCAAATGGATTTATTGGCATGTTTTCAGCTTTTACTTCTGTCGCACTTATTGACTGTGAACTGTAGCCCCGGTCCGTTACTCGACGTTGTCGTGGATCGTTATGACATTCCGAAAGTTTGTCCTCGAGAAGTGGAAATAGAAGATTTTGTTCGTTATCATTTCAACGGTACCTTCTTTGAAGACGGGAAAAAGTTTGACTCCAGGTGAAGTTACAGCGAAATGTCAGTTAGTTTAGCTTCAGAATGAGCTAACTAGCGCTAATTGTTAGTATAGAAAAGGACTACAGTTCCCACGAACTGCTTGTAACGTTAGCTTTCAATGAAATTATGGTTACTGTGTGATTAAAAATGGTTCACTGTGCAGTAAGGGCAATGCTTACACAGTAAAAAAGTTATTACAGTAAGCACAGAAGTAAAGAAAGCTAACACGCATTTTATTTGTTCTTTTAATGGATTTTTCTTCACATATGTTTACTGCAGCAGTGATGACTGCAAACGTGTCAGTAGCATCTCAGCTTCAGCAGAGGTGAAGCTGAGAAAATCACAGCAATTATTTGCTGTGATTTAGTATCTACACGGGTTAGTTTCGGGCAGTTAGTAGATGGCATACCTCCCTTGCATTCCATTCCCTTGAAAAATAAAATAAAATAAATTAATTAAAAAAAATCACAACCCATTTTTATTTTGTTCACGCTGTTTTTCACTCTCATCTCCATCACCGCCTCTGCAGCTATGATCGAGGCAAAGCTTTCATCAGCCAGGTCGGCCTGGGCAGACTCATCGCAGGGATGGACCGGGGTCTGCTGGGCATGTGTGTCAACGAGCGCAGGAGGGTCACAGTCCCTCCACATCTGGCCTATGGAAGCATAGGAACAGGTGCAGAGGAGCACAGCAGTGACGGCACTTTACTGGTGGCATTATGTGGGCTGACTTGTGACACTCTGATCTCTATCTCTGTTCAGGTGGTATAATCCCTCCTGATGCTGTGCTGGTTTACGATGTCCTTCTGCTGGATATCTGGAACGAAAAGGACAAGGTTGAGATCCGCACTCTCGACAAACCTGCGAGCTGCAGGCGAACAACTGCAGCATCAGATTTTGTCCGTTACCACTACAACGGCACTCTGCTCTCTGGTGAACTCTTTGACTCCAGGTGAGAGGGCAAAAGTTTCATTAGAAGCTGAAAAGCATCTCTTTGTTTGTTTCTTTGATTATCAGGAACTTTGAACTGTCAACTCTTTATTTAGTTACTCGAGGAATGCCACCTATGACACCTACCTGGGCCAGGGTGACCTCATTAAAGGCATGGACGAGGGTCTTCTGGGCATGTGTATTGGGGAAAGACGCCTCATTATCGTCCCACCCTTCCTGGCATACGGAGAGAATGGCTACGGTAATAACTACTATTAAGATGTCTTTGGCTAGTGTGGCATTTCTTTTAATTCACCTGTTGACAACCTCAAAATGTAACCTCTTATTAATAATCATAGTGACCTGTTTCGTTTCTTTTAAAGGGTTAAGTTTAAAACTTCATATGTTTTCTGCATGTTTATCTGCATATCACATTCAAATATCAGTATTTTTATATATATTTCTGATTTTGCGTGTAGGATTTGGTGTGCTAACGTTCAGAGAAATTGTCAGAGGACATTTATGAGTGTCTTTATGATGACTGATTGATTGATGATTGTTTACTAGTATATTCACAAGCTGTACAGCTTTTCCTCCTGTTAGAGACTTCCCCTATGGCTATTCATACTACACCAGTAATTATGTAATAGATAAACAATGAACTTACAGGAAAAGTAACTGTTTTTTCACCATCTACTAAATTTCTGGGTTGTTTGTTTTGTTTTTTTACAATGGGTTCATTGTTCACATTTTCTAAAAAAAAAAAACATGCTTTTGTTAGAAAATGTGAACAATGCAACTAAGCAACTCATTTTGCACATTTATTTCTTACAATTTAAAGCCCAACGAGTAGTGCTGACAGAAAAACTGAGATGTGCTGTTGAGATTGCACTTCTTATATTAAGATGTCACGGGAAATAAATGTTTAGTTAAACTTATTTTCAGTGACTGAAAGGCGAGTATCAGTAGTCTGGCCCACTTAAGATCAATATTTTCTATATGTGACCCACGATGTGAAATCAGTTTGACATTCCTGCTCTAGTACAAGGAAAATAAAGCATCAGAAAGATTGAAAGTTGATCCTAAAACTTTGGGCGTACTTTAAAAAATGGAGACCAGGATGTGTGTAGGGACAAAATTTTGTTACAGTAAAATCCATTACTTTGACTTTTACTGGATGGCCTTCCTTGCTGTCTTATTTGGTGTTTGCGCTGGGCAAAGCTTCAATATGGATACTTTCAAATTCAATTGGCTGTCTTGCTGGTAACCAGTGTTGGCCACAGATATGCGTCCTCTCATTTTCGATGTGGAGTGTAAATGCTTGTGGGTTTGGATTTCCTAAGCGCTGAGTGCAGTAACAGAGGCTAAGCTAGCTGCAGGATGGTTATTCAATCTCTTTTACTGTCTTGTACTGTCTAAATTGCACTGTCTTATTTTATATTTATTTTCAAAAATTGTGAGTGAGGATGTTTTAGAGTTGTCTTAATAATCATTTAACAAACCTCAGTTGAATCGGAGTAGATAAAAAAGGATTTAGGTGGTCACTTGTTCAATGAGTTTTAATTTTTTTTTTAATAACTTTCTTTCATGAACATGCTTCTTTCCTCCCAACAGGAACCATGATCCCTCCTCAGGCCACGCTGGTATTCGAGGTGCTGATAGTTGATGTCTTTAACCCCAAGGATGATGTAATCGTGGAGGCAAAGGAAGTGCCTAAAGGCTGCACGCGCACAACAGTGACTGGAGATTACATCCGCTACCACTACAATGGCACATTTCAGGATGGCACACTCTTTGACTCGAGGTACACTTGAGAGTTTTTTTGTTTGTTTGTTTGTTTTTTCATTTTTAGAAAGTAAATAAGCTATCATCCAAATAAGCTTCTTTCAAGCTCTCTCTCACTCTCCTTTGACAGCTATCAGCGAAATAGCACCTACAACACTTACATCGGTATGGGATACGTGATCCAAGGGATGGACAAAGCCCTGCAGGGGCTGTGCATAGGAGAGAAAAGGAGGGTCGTAATTCCTCCTCACTTAGCGTATGGTGAAAAAGGAGTCGGTGAGTTTGATGTCTGCAAATAGGAGGTTTTAAAGTGTTGTCTGAGTGAGCGCATCAGAGGTGGGAAGTAGTGATATACAAATACTTAGTGTACTTAACTAGAATTTTTAGGTATCTGTACTTTAATTATTTTTCAGAAAACTTTTTACTTTTACTCCCAACATTTTCACACAAATATGTGTACTTTCTGCTCCTTACATTTTCAAAGTAGACTCGTTACTTTAGGTTTAAGGAATTTGAGTGGAGTTATTCCATGTCCCTGTGTGCATTCAAACATCAAAGTGATTTGAGCCTAAAAAGTTACATATGTAAGGCAATAGTGTATCTAATGGTATATCAGTCACCAGGGGGTATCGCATACAACAAGATGAGGTAAAACCATGTAATTTATTAATAATCTATTGCATCACAGTCAGGTTAAAGTAGGCCAGTGTTTTTGGCACATCACCGGAACGAGTGTAGATGTTCTGTAGTCATGGTACTTCAGCATCTAGCTAGCTCTACAGAAAAAGGGCAACTGAATACCATCTAGTATAAAGACAGTGTAAAAAGTATACTGTCAGTGTAAGGGATGGAAATCAGCGAAGTTAGCTTGTGAAATGTTGGGTTACAGCTTGTTGAATTCAGTTGTGTAAATCAAACAAAGAGCAGCAGCAGTAGAAGTCAGCTGATCACAGTCTGTACACAAAGAAAATCTGCTGGAGCCCAAAATAGAAATTATTGTAATTCTTTTCCCCACGTTGAACCACTACAATCAATCTTAGCATTCCCACATCTGCTGAATCCCATGTTAATCCTGACTGTGCTCATTTCCCTGTTAAGCTGTGGAGGCAAAGTCATCGTCTACAATGTATGCAACAAAAAAATAGTGCTTTTCTTCTTAAATGCTCGTGTTCTGCATAACTGATTCAAGCTGAGTACAATTTTTAGAATTACAGTTCAGACTGAAATAAAGTTTGTATTCTCATTTATTAATTGTTTTATTATATTACTATAGCACGAGGTTCAGTTAGTTTTGCACAACAATAGCTCATAGAAACATCCTCAAAAGAGTTACTTTTTACTTGTTTAGTTTGAATACATTTCAGGTCCTGTACTATTTCAATTTACTTGAGTAAAGAAGTTGAATCAGTACTTCAACTTTTATCAAAGTATTTTTAACGCATGCGTCTGTACTTCTATGTGTATAAATGTCATGTTTCTTGTTTTGTTTTTTCATTTTATCTTGTAGGAGACTTCATTCCTGGATCTGCTGTGCTCGTCTTTGACATTCACGTCATTGATTTCCACAACCCAAAAGATCCAGTCAATATCAAAGTTACCCATAAGCCTCAGGAGTGTAACATGAGAAGTGAAGCTGACGATTTGATTCAGTACCGCTACAATTGCTCCTTGATGGACGGCACCCTGCTGTACACCTCGTGAGCGCCCTCTGCTGTTCACTCTGCTACACTGCACCCTCCACCTCATGCATGTAATCATTGCTGGCTCCTTGTCTGACAGATTTCCGTGGGCCTCGAATTCATACCATCTTTGTCTTTATGACAAAAGCATGTATGCTTGCATGGCTCCAGGTTTGTTTTTTTTTTCTTTCCTAAATGTTCTCTGTTAAAAATAGTTATGAATCACTTTGCAGGGACCAGTATGATTCACTTTCTATCACTACGCTGGGAGCAAATAATGTGATCCTGGGTCTGGAGGAAGGTTTAAGAGGCATGTGTGTAGGCGAGAGGAGAGAAGTGGTCATCCCTCCCCACTTTGGCCATGGTGAAAATGAAGGTCAGTCATCAAGAAACTCAGATACAGTATTTATTTATTTTTTGTTCTTTTTCATGTAATTTTCCTCTTCTTTAATGGCATCTCCAGCCGGAGGAGTTCCAAGGAGTGCAGTGCTCTTCTTTGAGTTGGAGTTGGTGGAGCTTCAGAAGGGTGTACCTGAAGGCTACATGTTTGTGTGGGTCGGGGATGGCCCTGATCCCCTCTTTCCTGCTATGGACCTTGATGGAGACAAACAGGTCCCCCTTGAGGAGGTAAAAAGAGAAGCTAAAATGACTTTTTTTTCCTTCTAATTTTTTTTTTTTTTAATAAAGGAACATTGCTGCACACAGTAAAAATGTTTTATAACTTAGACACTCCTCCAATATTCTCCAGTTTTCAGTCTTCATCAGGCTCCAGGTTCAAGGAGGCAAAGGTCGTCTTCGGCCGGGGATTGATGCCGACAGCATTATTAAGGACATGTTTGATAATCAAGACCGTAATAAAGATGGCAAGATCGTAGAAGATGAACTGACGGTTACAGAGGATGACGTGTCCAAACAAGCAAGAGATGAGCTATAAAGAGGACATCTACGTGTTTCACTGGTGATTAAGTACAGGCGTGCAATGGCTGAGGTAACGCTGTTGTTTTAGTGTGTTGTGGAACAGCTCTGAATTTTTCAGGACTCATTTCTCATCTACTGGGCCTTTTCACTTCAGACAACTCGCCCTGTAGTTGGAAAAATTGTATTTTCCATACAAAACTCTGAACCCAAAGCAGCTATATGAGATTCAGCCATCATTAATAACTTTTACACCAGTGTTTTTATAACTGTGATGTGTCAAAAACATGGTCAGTATGTTGTGGCCAGAAGCGCTTTTAAAATGCTGATGGAAGAAAAAAGATCTGTAAGGAAGGCACATGTCATTTACCAAGAATCTGGGCAGGGCCCAACTTCCACAATAGTCCAGCTGTTACAAAAGTCATGTGATTTGCTGTTGATTTAGCAATTTAGATTTACCTTTGGTCCTTCATCTTAATATAAAAATGATTACAAAAAACACTAGTTGTACAGTATTGTTTGTGGCTGTGTACCAATGTACAATAAAATATTTTATAACAAAAAACCTTTGTGTGTTGTCAATGAGCTAAACTCAATTGGTCTGGCCTTGCACAACAGCCCCGGTGTCTCAGGCAAATGCACTGCCCACCTCTGTGTTTGTGTAGTTTTATTTCTGGCATAGCTGAAAATAAATAGGTAATTATTTTGGACAACAGGACAAATCATAAACTGTTATGCCACACCGTCAGCGGACGATTAGACCAACAAAGAAAATACTTTTTGAACATGCACAAGAGAATTGAAGAAGAGTGCAGGGTGGAGTGGCTGGAGATTGAGGTTGACGGTGATTTGTGACAGGAGGGCAGCAGCGAGAGTGTAGTGATGCCTGCCATCATGTACGGCTTGGAGACCCAGATGCCAAGTTATAAAGCAGAGACATGTTAGAGAGGCAACGTTGAGATCCTCTGGACATATGGAGGAGGAGGATAGTGAATACATTTGACAAATGATGTTGAACACGAGGCTGCCAGGTACAAGGAAAATGGAAATGCCACAGAGGAGGTTCAAAAATGCAGTGAAGGAGGACGTGCAGAGGGTTGGCGTGACAGAGGAAGATGCCAGGGAATAGGGTAAGATAGAGGCAGCTGATCCACTGTGGTGACTCCTGAAGGGAGTGCCCAAAAGCAGCTTAATTTAAGGTTTTAGAAAGAACAGTAACACCACATTTCTGTTATGTGAAAAAAGTTAAAATTACAAATTGCTAAAAAAAAAATATACAAAAATATTTTTCTAAAAGCAAAGTGTCAAACATCAAATAAAAATTGCAGTTGATTTTTTTAAAAGTCTGTTTTTAGATTAAAAGCAGGGGTGATAGACAGTGTTGAAAATTCTTCAGTGATTTTCAGTAACAATCCAGCTGAAAGTTTCTGGGCCAGCTTGGGCCTTCTCAGCTGATGGTCCCAGAATCTCCAATATCAAGTCAGTTTAATTACTGTCAGTCAGAAAACGTACAACTGCATTTGGGACGTCCAAGCTTTCATCCTTTATCAACACAATGTCATATGAGTCAACCCACTGTAAACCATTATTATGGCAACCAGCTCTTCTTAATACTTACTTTGAGTTAAGGGATGAGAGAGGTGAACAAGAGAGTGTAGGCAGGATGGAGTTGGTGGAGAAAAGTGTCAGGCGTGATTTGTGGCTGGTCATCATCGGAGTGAATGGATTAAACATAGTATTGAGACCTGCTATGATGTTATGTTTGGTAAGAGAAGTTTGGAGATGAAGTTAGAGAGGCAAAGTTGAGATGACGACCACTGTAATGACTCAAGGCAGAAGTCGAAGAAAGAAGCAGCAACGTAATTTTTTTTTTTCTTTTATTCCAGACTCAGATAGACAGAAAGCATCAGACCGTTCAGTGATTTAAAAACACTGAACCTAAAGTTTAAAATTTGTAGCAAAACATAACTACTTTATTAACTTTTTATTGTATTTCTTGCTAATATTCTCATAATTTCAATGTAATAGTTATTACAAATTACTGACTCTAAATATAGAAATATGTTTTCTATCTTTTCTTTCCCTGTTCCTAAATGTATTTACCGACAGGCCACCACAAGATGGCACTGCAGTGCTAAAAAACAGTGTCTGTTTTCAGATTACAATTCACCGAAAAGGTGCTTTTTTTGTAAGAGAATGGAAGTCGTTTTCAGAGCAAATACTAGGTCAAGTACCGCCATTTATGTCAAAGTTTGAACAGTAGACACACACATGCAGCTTTTAGGCTACAGCTATCAGCTGAGGTAGGTCCAATTACTCAGTGAGAAAGCGAATAACTGCATTTGGAACATCCAAGCTTTCATCCTTTATCAACACAATGTCATATGAGTCCAGGTATGATTGTTTCCTCTCCTCCACCTGTGGAAATTAAAAAATAGATAAGTATCAATTCGCTTTAGTGAACATAACTGCGTGCATGCTTTTTGCTTACCTTGTCATTAAGGAAGCCGATCTTGAGGATGTTCTCCATGTCCTGCACTCCATCAGCCATGTTCAGATCCCCTAGAGAGTCTCCTAGTAGTAGCACATTTGTCTGTGTGCGCAGCTCCTGGAAATGTCCGGTGTTGAGCAGCGCACCTTCCCTTTTATTGTAGATGTGAATCAGTTCTCCTTTGAAAGCCTTCAGCACCCCCTGTGCAAACAGATCAAGTCAAATTATTATTTAAATGCCTGAGTGGAGGTCAGGTTATAGTATGTGGTGTGGCTACTCACAGACTCATCAAAGTCCATGTAGTTGGAGATGACCTTGACATTAGGGTGGAAGACCTCAGTCTGGCGTATCACCTCTTCCAGGATGTCTCCTATTCCAGCAGAGAAGATGAGCAGGGGGATGCTGTGCTCATGCAGGTGGTCAAAGAAATCCTTGTAGCCGTCCCTGTTAAAAGACATGAAAAAGAATCCACATTAGCTGCATTACAAAAATGTTTTCAACATTCAAGAACTAAACAGATCTTCGGGGATGCTCATACCTCAGCTTGGCGTCAGAGTCCCTCACCGCCTTGGCTAACCCATCTTTCTTAATTTTCTGATTCACCAGCAGCTCGTGAGCCTTTGTCCACCTGAGATACAGTCGAGTTATTAAATACCCTTCCAACACTGTTAAACACAAGTCATAGCTCTGTGTACACACTCACCACTCCACCATAAGAGGCAGCTTCTCCTCTACTGACAGCGTAGTGTCGATCTCTATGGGGTAGTATTTGTCGAGCAGCCCCTGCAGCTGTAGAGGACATGACAGTGTTATAAAAACTGATCAGCAAATATCACAATTCTTCTAGAGTTGGCAAGTCTCACCACCACTCAGCAGCCATCTGGGCAATGCTTCTGGATAGTTATTTGGGGTGTTATTTTAAACCCCCTGCATGAATGAACAGGGAGCAAGCCTTCAGGTTCAATTCAATTATCACTACATACTTCACTTTTATTATTCATGTGCAAAGTTCTTTTTTGTCCCTGGCTCAGTCCGGAGTGTTGACCAGCTTACTCATGAAACACTAAACAAATGTTGTACTTACTCACCTTTTGGATACAGTAACTTTTATTTGACACAAGAAATACCAGAATGCCTGTATCTAATAATATCCATCATGTATTGGTCAAAAATAACCCTTTTTCCTTTCACGCCACATCCCTTAACTAGCTGTCAGTTTTAAAACCAATATTTCTGAATGCTCTCATCACACTCACAAACGATGAGCTTGCATCATAATTATTAAATATATATAGTTAGGTATAAAATGATGTTGTTAATCACTTAAACTTTGTAAAAGATACCATGAACATGTTATAGATGAGCTTATAAATCAAGAATAAAAATCGATATCTGCATTGATAAATGACATACTAAGGCGGATTAATTTCAGTAGTATTTTTAAGTACTTACTAATACCTTTCTAAAGCTTAACAGTCTGTCATGATTTTAAAGTGTTACCGTTTCTTCTTATTCTGTACTGTAAACCACTTTGTGACTTTTATTGTTGAAAAACACATTTTTAATGTGCAGCATGTTTTCCTGATAATATTTACACAAAACTGATTAACAGGCATAGTCTAGGTTGTGGACTGCATGCTTCCATTTCTCCCACCACACAACAATTTGGGAGAAAACTCCTCATCATACTTTAATATATAATGCTGCTTTGAAGTGGACACTGTACTAAAACATGCAGTGTTAATATAAAAGCACTATAAAAAAATATTCAATCGTAAACTAGAAGTTTTGCCTACCTTTTTTTTGCAATCACTGGAGATGACATCACTCCTCTCAAGAATATCTGCAAATACACAAAATGACAGTCATGTGTCTTTCAGCCAAAACCTTTTATATGCATGGCGACCTCAAACTACAAACAGCTGACAAATAAAAACATTTTAAAGACCCTGAATTGTGGTCTGTGAAACGTATAAAAATACTGAGTAGGCTCAAATAATTCTAATTTTATATGAAGATAGAAAGAGGGAAAAAAAGCTAATTGAGTTCTACATTTAGATCTACGGGAAATGCACCAGTATATATATGACTTTAGCATAAGCATTTTTTCTATTATTAACCATGAGTCAGTGCCTGATCGAGTCTACTATTACTGACCAAGGACATATGTGGTAGGGATCACAAGACCAACCTACCCTACATCCTGATCCAGACTTACCCTAAACTTCACCTTCAATTTATCCAATATAGGCTTGATTCCGTTCCATTAAAAATCTCATCATCCACTAACTAGGTTAAGTGGCCTGAGGTTTTCAAACCCCTCACTACAAAGATGAATGCACAAAGATGAATGCACAAAGATGAATTCAGTGGTGTAATAAGTGTAGATATGGTGGTATTATCTTTCATTCTCAACATGTGTTCAAATGCATGTGTGGCGTACACACCAAGAGAATTGTACATATCTGAATAAAAAGCTATGGGGGGCTTTTTGCTGGCATGGCTTTTGTCCTCTTATCCTCTTATAATGACAAAAGTTCCACACCCTTTCTCTCTATTGTCTCCCAAGAAGAAGTCATCCATATTGGAAGAGGAATTACAGGCAGAGCTATGGCTTTCACAGTCACAAGATCTCTACCCAGCTGGAGACCTGCTGAAAACTGAGGCAAACAGTTTCTCACCATTTTAATGTTAATACCATGTCGTTAAATGCAAACAGTCCCCTGTAGAGGCTTTTTATTCTCTCCATTCCTTATCACCACTTTGGCTTGGAAGGTGTTAACCTTGATTTTGTCACCTGTCTAGACTCTTTCACATCTGGTCTTTTATCACTATTGTATCTCTAAATACTGGTACCCCCATGGTCATTCACCAGGCTTTTGTGTCTATTCTTCTCCTTATGTAAATAGAGAAACCTCCACTTGTTTCTGTTACCCCCTCTGTTCTGTTCCCTTTCCCTGGAGTTTCCTGCAGAAAAGTCTTTAAGAAAAACAAAACAGTCTCCCCCCTTTTCAAATAAAGATTTCTCTTCTGAATCTCAGACTAAAGCTAAACTT